TGTCATGTGCTCTTCTTTCCATGTCCGCGCGGCAGAACGCAGGGTCGTACCGAGCCAGCGACGAGCGGCACGATTCGGAAAGTGGTTTGCGAGGCACAAACGATGGAGCTGAACTCAGGTGGAGTACGGTCCTGCGCTACGCACTCGTGGCTCAGCAGAATTCCTCCAGGAGAACGCGGAGATTGAGAGAAGAAAAATTCCACTCCTGTATCTTGCCCCGTTCGACTTGCCAACTACAAGTTATGAGAGCTCCGGTCTCCTGTTTCTGTGCTGTATTAATGCAATTAAGCCACTGATCGACAATGCGTATGTTAATGCGATGCTCCTTTTCTCCGAATCGCGATCTCCGAGTTCAGATGCATGCCGCAGACCCGTAATTCTCAATGCATGACGCAGGACCAACATTGACAGCCGTTGAGCACCGACCACATTCATGTATTACCGAAGGGAATGGCCTTAATACTCAGGGTCTCCATCGCTCATTCGGTAGATGATTTTGTGCGAATATGCATGGCTCGGTCTGAACCTGAATCGCAGTGTAGATCAGACGCCTTCAAAAAAGTCAGCAGATCTCAGGTTGCGTGCGCGATATCGATGCGCGCAGCGTGTCTCTGTCCAGAGGAGCAGCCATACTCCATCAGGTCGACGCTGTTGGCTGTTGGTCGCACGCACATTGACCGAACCAAAGCATCGGGACGCAGAGAGGTGTATAAATCGCAGCTCCCGGCGTAGGATAGACCAGGACGCTCACAGTATCCTTTATCCCCTTCTAGTATTTCCTCATCGCTCATCCTGCGTCGCAATGAACATGCCTTACACGACGGCGGGCTCCATGGCGTCTGAGCCTGGTGGTAGTGGGACCGGTCTCCATAGTTCGGTACCAGGCGCGAACCCTGGCTATCAATCCTGGGGACGTGGCCTCTTTCCACACGCGTATTCGCCGACACGCGGACACGCTGCACAGCAACAGCAAGATTCCACCCCAGTCTACGCTACCAATGCCTCGAGCGCAAATCTCGGCCAGCATATGGTCAACCGTCGGTTGTGAGTCTTCATGCCCCGTGCAGATCATGCCCCTAACGAAAAGCAGACAAGCCACCACACCCGACTGTCCCGAGCGAAGCCTTGAACAAGTTGTGACACGCTTGGACTAGTATGCAGTGCCGTCTTCCTCGAAAGACCCCACACTTATGATCATAGCATTGCGAACGTAGCACGCGAGCTGGCTGCGGAAGTAACTTTGCTACAAGGGCACATTCAGTACGTTGCGAGTTGTAGGCTAGCGATGCCTCATCTAACAAAAGCCAGGACGGGATCATTCATGGCACAGTCGCAACCAAACCAACGGTACGCAGGAGAGCCTAGAAACTAAAAGGACACTAGAAAGGCGGCGGAAAGTAGCTCCTCAGGTACGAAGCAGCGGTTTAGGGGTCCTTCTTCCACGTCCGCGGTATTCGGCTCGCAGGCGGGCATACTTTCCGTGAGTCAAGCTGAGGTATGAGACAGGTTATCTATGGAAATGTCATCACTTCTGCTGCTCTCGATGTCGGGTCAAGCGTGATGGCAGGCGCGAGTTTGGCTCTTGATCTCGATGGAGAAGGGGCCGTTTGCTATAGGAGTATCTTGCCGGGCGTGCAGCATATGGTGAATCAATGTTCGTGAAGCCTGGGCAGCACATCCATCACGAGAGAAAGTTCAGAAACAGGAAGAATGAGATTCAGCCCACGTGTACTAACGCCCGGGAGTCCAGCTACCGAACCAAAATAAATCAAAGACATGCAAACTAATCAGCAAACGTAACCCCTATATCTCACTATCTTATATAATCGATCGCCACCTGAATTGCAGCGTCGACGCACTGTCGGCGAGTTTGACCATCAGCAACCCATATAGCTCGATTTGTCTAGTCGTCCTGGGCATCCTTGCTCTCGACCTCCACAGTGTCAAGCGCCAAGCCCGGAGATAGCGACCGAGACTCGCTCTGGCGTTGTCTCAGTATCCATTGCTGGCGCCTTTTCGCAAGCTGGGCAGCGGTCTCAACAAAGGCGAAATCGGCCGAGTGAATCCTCTCCCCCTCCTCCACTAGCACGACATTCTCGTACTCAATGGTTCTTGGGGCTGCTATCTTCGCTTGCCCACCAAATTGAGAGTGCTTCTTCAACTTTCCTCGCCACTCCCAGGTCGTTGTTCTATCTTCCCACTGCACGCAGACGAACATCATGGGCGGCTTCTTTCGCGTACTTCCATTCTCCGCCGGCCAGTGCCTCTGGGCCAAGGCTTTGAGCAGGCCAAGATAATC